CCTTCTAGTGTGATGTAGATGGGGATAAATGCACCTAGGATTACTTCAGCCTTCATGTAGGTGCTGGGCTTCCAGTACTAAGAACAGCTTTGGTTAGTCATTTCCCCTAATGTAAACAAAGATTGTAGGTGTATCATGATACACAGCAAAGGAAGTGACATGTCAGAGTGTACACTACACAGAAGCAATGCTTTCCACCTAGGATGAACCAAGGAGATTATTGACTTAGCTCACAGAACAGACTCAGACATCAACAGTGTCAGAGAATACTCTGTATGCTGCTGTTGGTTTCTGATGTTGCATCAGTCTCTCAGGCTGCACATAGCCTATGGTTCTCATGCCAGACAAGAGCACTGAGAAAAGCAAAGTCCTGACAAGTGAGGGTAAATCAGAGAACTTAGATTTTCCTTTAACTGAAACCAGAGTGGGCCTGAAGGCACTGGCTTTCTGTTTTCCTCTCATACATGCCCTCTGGGGATCTAATAGCCCTGGGATTCTGCACCTGCATCCTCTATGCTGGTGAAAAACATGTTTATTTCTTTCCTTATTTCCCTACCTCTATGATTACATAATTCTTCACAGTGACTTTGGAGAGCACTATAGTCTGAGACTGACCTTTATGTCTCAATTCAGCTTGTTTGATTTGGATTGCTGTTTTGGAAGACACATAGAAGAAGTGTGAACAGGTGAGAGAAAAAGTCATAGCTGGACCCAAAAGAAGCACACACTTTCAAAATTCCATGAAATGCTTTTATGAGAGGAAAAAACAATGATGTCAGTTTCTAGTGTCTGCCATGCAGAAACTCATTTACCTTGTATCTGCCTTGATTCCCTAATTTCTCCTCCTTGTAGCACTAATTATGAAGATGTAGAAATGAGTAAGGACATTCCAGACAATTATAAAAGATCATCTCTCCTCAGCCATTCACAGTATTAAGTTTCCAAGTAGAAATATGCTATTAGTGCACTCTGGTACAGCTCCTCCCCCACTACATTTGTAACAAATAAAAACTAAATAGAATAATACTTTATACTATTTCCTATTTCCTGTAATACTATTTATTGTGAATGTACTTCATATAAATTCATGGTTTGTTATATATTACTAATAATTATAGTAGAAGACAAACCAAATTTTGGTATATGTTGCATAGGTCACAACAATTCATGGAAATTGAGGCCATGAGTTTCAAAAGAGTGAAGAGGTGTACACTGTCTCTAGAGGGAAGGAAACAAATGAGAAACCATATAATCATATCTCAATACATGAATGAATGAGTAAATAAATAAATGCAAGTCTCTTATGTATAATCTTACAAAATTTACTTATTGGAATCCTTAAAACATACACAAAGTATTTTTCAACTGAACAATATGTTAATATTATTAATTGTTCTACACACGGCTTGAGGTATTACTTTAAATTATTTCTCTTTTGTCACTGAAATGTGTTCTTTGACAAGTAGTTGCAAAACACTCTGATGTCCAGACTCTCACAGTCACCTTTCAAACTTATTTCAGAGCACTGAGAGCTTAGGATTCAGTTGTGAGTGAGGTCAGACAGCATTTGATTTCTGTGCCTAGTTCATGTCGCTGAAAATAATTTCTGCATCCATCTACATACACAAAACAAATTAATCACTGTTCTTGAAAAGTTGAATGTCATTCATATGGGTAAAGGAATACAGATGTATATATACATATATAAACAAATAAGCATAATGCATGTAATAACAGTTACTCATGATATAAGTCCTCAAATTAAAAGAGCATATGAAGAATTTGGAGAGAAGAAAAGGATGTGTGAGAGAATATGATTATTCTACAGTCTCAAAATGTAAAAGTGTTTTCTATGAATGGAGGGAGGAAGGATGAATATGGGAGTAGGGAAGTATATATCTCAACTAAGGGAGCCATTTTAGGGTTTGCAAGAGACTTGATTCTAGAGGGGTTCCCAGGTCCAAGGAGAGATCCCCAGATTGTTCCCTGAGCAGCAGAGGAGAGGGTGCCTGAACTGGCCTTGTCCCATAAACATACTGATGAATATTTTGCATATCACCATAGAACCTTCATCTGGCGATGGATGGAGATAGAGACAGAGACCCGCATTGGAACACTGGACTTAACTCCCTAGGTCCAAATGAGAAGCAGAAGGAGGGAGAACGTGAGCAAGGAAGTCAGGATAAGAGGGAACCTTCATCCAACGATAGATGGAGATAGAGACAGAGACTCACATTGGAGCACTGGACTGAGCCCCCAAGTTCCAAATGAGGAGCAGAAGGAGAGAGAACATGAACAAGGAAGTCAGGAACGTGAGGGATGCGTTCACCCACTGATACAAGGGGACTGATCTAATGAGAGCTCACCAAGGCCAGCTGGACTGGGACAGAAAGAGCATGTGATCAAACCGGAGTCTCTGTGGCTGACATGGAGACTATCTGAGAAGCCATTGATAATGGCACTGGGACTTGTTTCCTCTGCATGTACTGACTTTTTGGAATCCTAGTCTGTTTGGATACTCACCTTCCTAGACCTGGAGGGAGGGGGGAGGAACTTGAACTTCCCACAGGGCAGGAAACCCTGACTGCTCTTAGGACTGGAGAGGGAGGAGGAGAGGGAGTGGGGGGAGTGGGAGGGTAATGGGAGGAGGGGCGGAAGTGGAAAATTTTATAAATTAATAATAAAAAAGAATGAACAGCTTGATGGCAGTCCCGAAAAAATAAACAATATTCATAAAAAATGAATAATATAATACCTTGCATTCTTTTTTAATTAATTAATTTATTAAAAATTACCACCTCTTCCCAGCCTCCCTTTTCCTTTTTCCTACCCACCTCCCCCTCCCTACCTCTCCCTCCTTCTGTAGTCTTAAGAACTGTCAGGGTTCGCTGCCCCGTGAAAAGTTCAAGGTCCTCCCCCTTCCATACAGGTCTATAAAGGTGAGCATCCAAACAAACCAGGCTCCCACAAAGTTAGTCCATGCAGTAGAATTAAATCCCAATGCCATTATCCTTGGCTTCTCAGTCAGCCTTCATTGCCAGCCACGTTCAGAGTGTCCATTTTGATCACATGCTCTATCACTCCCAGTCCAGCTGGCCTTGGTGGGCTCCCATTAGATCAGTCCCACCATCTCAGTGGGTGGGTGCACCCCTGATGGTCCTGACATCCTTGCTCATGTTCTCCCTCCTTCTGCTTCTCATTTGGACCTAGAGAGCTAAGTTCAGTGCTCCAATGTGGGTCTCTAGAGACATCTCCATCCATCGCCAGATGAAGGTTCTATAGTAAAATACAAAATATTCATCAGTATGGCTATGGGACAAGGCCAGTTCATGGACTCTCTCCTCTGCTGCTCAGGGAACAATCTGGGGATCTCTCCTTGGACCTGGGCACCCTCCAGAATCAAGTCTCTTGCAAACCCTAAAATGGCTCCCTTAGTTGAGATATTTATTTCCCTGCTCCCATATCCATCCTTCCTTTATCCCATCCATCCCATCCCCTCAAGCTATCCCGAATCCTCCCATTCTCCCTTCTCTCTACCCATCTCCCCTTACATACAAGCCCATACCCCTGACACCCAAGTTTGCCTGGCAATCTTGTCTACTTCCAATATCCAGGAGGATAGTTATATGATTTTCTTCAGGTTCACCTTCTTATGTAGCTTCTATAGGATCACAAATAATAGGCTCAAAGATCTTTGATTATGGCTAGAATCCACTTATGAGTGAGTACATACCATATTCCTCTTTTTGTGTCTGTGTTACATCACTCAGTAAAGCGTTTTCTATTTCCATCCATTTGCATGCAAAATTCAAGATGTCATTGTTTTTTACCGCTGAGTAAAACTCTAATGTGTATATGTTCCACACATTCTTTAACCATTCTTCTATTGAGGGGCACCTATGTTGTTTCCAGGTTCTGGCTATTACAAGTAGTGCTGCTATAAACATAGTTGAACAAATGCTTTTGTAGCATGATAGGGCATCACGTGGGTATATTCCCAAGAGTGGAATTGCTGGGTCCTGAGGGAGGTTGACTCCCAGTTTCCTAAGAAACCGCCACACTGATTTCCAAAGTGACTGCACAAGTTTGCATTCCCAACAATGCATGAGTGTTCCCCTCACTCCACATCCTCTCCAGCATAGGCTATCATTGGTGTTTTTGGTTTTAGCTAGTCTGGCAGGTGTAAGATGGTATCTCAAAGCTGTTTTGATTTTCATTTTCCTGATCGCTAAGGAGGTTAAGCATGACCTAAGTGTCTTTTGGCTATTTGAATTTCTTCTGTAGAGAATTCTCTGTTCAGTTCAGTACCCCATTTTTAATTGGGTTAATTATAGTTTTAGTGTCTAGTGTCTTGAGTTCTTTGTGTATTTTGGAGAACTAACTCATTATTTTGCTCCTCCCTTGAGAAAATTATTTCTTTCACTCTCAGCCTTTATTCATGCCTTGTAGATTCTTGTGTAAGGTTGAAACCTAATGGTTTCTTCCTAGTCCAGTTCAACATCTGTATTATCATTTCCCTTGTTCAGTTCATGTTCATGCAGTCATATTGGTAATGCTTATGGGTGTTACTTCTGACATTATTAGGAGACACAGTTTCAGTTGTAATCTCTGGTAGCGTGCCTTTTACAATATTTTAGTTCCATGTTGTGCATGTCTGTGAGCCATAAATATTATCACACAAAGCCCTGCTATACTATAAAACTAAATGACTGAGAGGAAAATCATTTAGTTAATGTGTTATTTATCTAGGTTATTATCATATAATGTATATTGAATATTTATAATGGCTACAACTTAATAAGTGACATGCATGACTTACTAACATGTATTTTCTGTAGTAATGGCTATTCTGAAATAGGTTGTCTCTATGTGAGATATAGCAAGGGACTCTTACATTTTTGTTTAAACAACATTTCAAAAACACACTGAGAAGTAGGTAATAGTTTCACTTGACTGTACTTAGATTTTATGAGAGAGACTTAGTTAATTCATCAAAATAATCAGGTTTTACTTGTTTTGTTCTTAAAACATTTCAAAGAGTTCTTATCAGGTCTTAGGAGTATTATGTAGCACTTTGGAAAAAAGATACAGCCTAGCAGCCCTGCACTGGAAGCCAAGATGGAGAAGACTTCTACAACCACCATGGTCCTGTCCTTGGTGCTGTGGTGGACAGGGAGGAAGGTGACCCAGACGCTGCAAAACACCAGCATGCTGAATGTCAGAAACCTGGCTTCGTTGAAGGTATCAGGCAGGTTCCTAGCCAGAAAAGCAACAGAGAAACTCACTAGGGCCAGGATCCCCAAGTATGCCAACACACAGTAGAAAGCAGTGACAGAGCCCTTGTTGCACAAAATGATGATGTGACCATATTCAGAGTGTGCATCTTCTTCAATATAGGGAGGCGAGGTTCCAAGCCAGAGTCCAAGGAGAATGAGTTGGATCAGGAGACAGATGGGGATGACAGAGTTATAGATGCCTGAGGCAAGGAGCCTTCTCAGTGTTCTCCCTGGTGTCATGGCTCTAAAGGCCAGAATTACTGTTATAGTTTTGGTCAAAACAGTGGAAAGAGCCAGAGTGAACGCCAGAGCAAATGTAATTTGTTGCAATATGCAGGAGGCTGTGTTTGGCTGGCCAATGAAAAAAAATGGGCACAGGAAGCAGAGGAGGAGGGAGATGAGCAGGATGAAGCTGAGTGTCCGATTATTGGCCTTAACGATGGGCGAGTCTTGGTGCTTGAGAAAGATTCCCAAAACTACAGCTGTGATGAGAGACAAGCATAGAGCTGTGCAGGCCAGAGCCATGCCCAGAGAATCCTCCAAGGACAAGAATGTCACTGACTTGGGCAGGCAGCTGTTTCTCTCAGGGTTTGGGTACTCTTGAATTGGGCAAGGGATACACTCCTGCTGATCTATGGGAGGAAATGAACCAACATGTCATCTCCTACAATTATTTACTCATTTCACAATCATGGCACAAAGAATGCCTTCTACTGTTGTGCTTTGTAGCCTGGCACATTCTGCTTTACTCTAGTGCCAAGAACGATAGTAACTATTTAAGAAGCCCATTTCTACTATTTGTCATGTCTACCTCAGAATAAGCCATGTCCTGTCAAGTTTATTACTGTTTTTCTAGAGAAATGAGAGTAAAATTGTAATCTACTTATTTAGATGAAATAAAACTGTCAAACAATCCTTTAAATAATTCTAAAATTAAGCCACACCAGCTTGTTCAATCTGTAGATGCACAGATTCAGTCCAAACCAGTCAGAGGAACATGAACCTCCTTCTGCAAGTTGAAACTAACTGCCAGAGATCACACCAGCCACCAGAAATCTAGGGCATGAAGAAAACCAAAGAAGAAATAAAAAATAAAAAAAAATACCCACCCAAGAATGACAAACTAAGAAATCAGTAACTAGAGCTAATAATCCCAAACCCATATGCCTAAATGTCCATGTAAAAATAAAATCAATGACAGCCAGGGCAATGTGGAGCCACCACAGTCCACCTACCTTATGACAGCAAACATGAGTTATCCAACACAGGCAAAACACAATAAAATGAACTTGAAGCAACTTTAATGTGGATGATATATATCCTTAAAGAGGAAGTAAAAACTCCCTTAAAAAATCAAGAAAAAGTATCCAAAGAATTAGAGAAAAATTAACTAATACATAAAAAATGCCAAGAAAAGATAAGAAAAAGAAACAATTGGAGGAAAATATTCATGACATAAAAAATCAAAATAGAAGCAATAAAGAAAACACAAAGTGATAGAATTCAGGAAATGCAAAATGGTTTCATGAACAGGAACTACAGATGCAAGCATCACCCACAGAATACAAGAGATGGAAGTGAGAATCTCAAACACTGAAGATACAGTAGAAGAAATAGATTCCTTGGTCAAAGTAAATGTCAAACCAAACAAATTCTTAACAGAAATATCAGGAAATTGGGACACCATGAAAAGACCAAACCTAAAAATAGTAGTACTAGAAGAAGGAGAAAAATCTCAGCATAAAATCCTAGAAAATAATTCAACAAAATCATAACAAAAAATTTCCATAACTTGAAGAAGGATATACCTATGAAGGTACAAGAACACCAAATAGATTAGGTTAGAAGAGAACGTCCCTGTGTCACAAAATAATGAAAATGCTAAATGAACGGAACAAAGAAAGACAATTAAAAGCTGGAAGAGAAAAAGGCCAAGTAACATATAAATGCACACCTATATGTATTACACCCAACTTCTCTCTGGAGACTTTAAAAGTTAGAAGTGTTTGGAAACATGTTTTGTAGACTCTATAAGATCATAGATGTCAGCTCAGATTAATATATACAGCAAAATTTTAAATCACCATAGTTGAAAAAGAGAAGACAAGATACTGTATTATAAAGTGAAATGTAAATATCTATCCACAAATCCAGCCCTACAGAATGTACTAGAAGGAAAACTCTAATTCAAGGAAAAATAACTACACCTAGGAAAACACAGAAAATAAATAATCTCGCACTAGCAAAACCCAAAGAAGGAACACACACATATACACACACACACACATACACACAACCACTACTACCACAAACAACATTATAATAACAATAATTAACAATTACTTGACATTAATATCTCTCAAATACCAATGCACTCAGTTTCCCAATAAAAAGACAGAGCTTAACACAATTTATACCAAATAGCATAAATCCTTCTTCTGCATACAGGAAACATACCCCAACATCCAAGATAGATATTACCTCAGTGTAAAGCATTGGAAAACAATTTTTCAATTAAATGGACCTAACAAACAAGTTAGTGTAGTTATCCTAATATCTATCAAAATAAACTTCAAAAGAAACTAATTAATTAATTAAAATAAATAAAAAATACAAAATAAATAAAAAAGAAATTAATTAAAAGAAATGAAGAAGGACATTGCATATTTGTTCAAGGAAAAATCTACTAGGATGATATCTCAATTTTGAGTATATATGTCCCAAATGCAATAGCACTCACATTTGTGAAAGAAATGTTACGAAAGCATAAATCACACATTGAACCCCACACATTAGTAATGGCAGATTTCAATACCCCACTCTCACTCTGACATGTCATCGAGACAGAATCTAAACAGAGAAATAATGGAATTAATAAATTATATGATTCAAATGGACCTAACAGAAATTTACAGAAATTTTCACACAAACACAAAAGAATATGTCTTCTTCTAAGCACTTCATGGAACTTTCTTCAAATAAATCTTTGGGGGCTGGAGAGACTGTTCAGTGGTTAAGAGCAGGGGTTGTTCTTTCAGAGTTCCTGGGATCAATTCCTATCACTCACATGGCAGCTCATAACTCTCTGTAACTCCTGTTATAGGAGAACCCTATACCCTTACACAGACATACATACAAGTAAAACACTAATGCACATAAAATAAAAATGAATAAATTATAAAATTATATCCTCAGTCACAAAGAAAGTCTCTACAGATTCAAGAAAGTAGAAATCATCCCCTGTGCCCTATTAGACCACTGTGGATTAAAGTTGGTTTTCAAGAACAACAGAAACAACAGAAAGCCTACAAATTCATGAAAACTGAACAAGTCTACTGAATGATCATTAGGGCAAGGAAAAGAACAAAGGAAGAAATTAAAAATCTGTTAGAAAGAATTCAATGAAAATGAATGCACATCTACACAAACTTATGGGATACAATGAAAGTGGTGTCTTGGAGGACCCAGAAGGAGAGAAAGAGAGAGCTAGAGGGAAGATGCGTGGCCAAAAGGTTGGGGGGCGAGGCTTTTTGAGCCAGGAAAAGAACAGTGGCAGATGCTATAGTAGTTGCTTGTGATTCACTTCAGCTTATTTGTTGTTGTAATATTTATTTTTATTTTTTCATAAATGGTAAAAGAAATCGCTAACATCTGATTCTCAACATTGGGCATTGTTAGACCACATGATAGTGCATGGTTCTGTTATGCCAACTGCTATCTGCAGAGGGGTGCCCGGGTGTACACTTCATTTTTTCCCCATCCCCCTTCTGAGATGCTTTCCTACATTTGGGGTTTTCCAAAGCCCTCTCTGGGCTGCCAATTCACGCAGCTTGACTCACCTTGAGACTGCTTGCCTTGAGACCTTAGAACCTTGGAACTTTGCAACCGCTGTGACCAATTCACTGGAGGTAGGCAGAAAAGTCAAGGTATGTGTAACAAAGCTGCACCTCTCACTCTTTTCTGCCTGATACTTACAGGCAACAGGGTGTAGGCTAGCCCAGGTGCTTGGCTGAACCGCCCCAACAGGGTCACCATGGTTCCTGGCTGGAATGAAATACCTTCATGATATACAAGCCTTAGAAAGGGTTACTACTCATAACATGCAGACTTTCAATTAATTAATTTTAACTGATAATGTAGGTGGAAGTTGATAAAATACAAACTTTAGGAATATTTACTGATGAAGAGAATGAAAAGGTGACTGATAACAGAACTTTAGAAAAATTTACTACATATAAGATACAAGCCTTACAAGATACAAACCTTAGATAAGTTACTACTGATAATATGCAAGCCTTTAAACAATTACTAAATGAGATTGTCTGGGAGGTCCTTGGCCCAGGAACAGGAACAGGTCCTGCTCCTTCACTGAGGCTATCCACCCAAAGGGGTGAGTGCACACCCTCCCAGCCAGAGGGGAGTGCAGGGCACCTCCAGCTCTGCTGCAGGGGCTTCTTGGCTCTGCACAACTCTCCCATTCCCCTCAAGTTAGCCCTTTTGTCTGCAGGGTCCTTAGACCTCCAAGAGTTCTGTCCCTGTGCTGAGGACAAACTTTCAGACTGGCCAGCCGGAGAACAGTTCCTGTACCTGCACTGAGGAGATCCACCCAGAGTCAGTCACAGCAAAGGTTGGACCAAGACACCAAGACTCTCCTGGCTGCATTTGATGGAAGTGATGGGCATACGCCAATGGAAAAATTCCTCCAGCAGGGGTTCTCAGACCCAAGGAGAGGTCCCCAGATTGTTCCCTGAGCAGCAGAGGAGAGGGTGCCTAAACTGGCCTTGGCCCATAACCATACTGATGAATAATTTGCATATCACCATAGAACCTTCATCTGGCGATGGATGGAGGTAGAGACAGAGACACATATTGGAATACTGGACTTAACTCCCTAGGTCCAAATGAGAAGCAGAAGGAGGGAAAACATGAGCAAGATAGGCAGGACCAGAGGGAACCTTCATCCGATGATGGATGGCAATAGAGATGGAGACCCACATTGGAGCACTGAACTGAGCCTCCAAGGTCAAAATGAGGAGCAGAAGGAGGGAGAACATGAAAAAGAAAATCAGGACCGTGAGGGATGCATTCACCCACTGATACAAGAGGACTGATCGAATGAGAGCTCACCAAGGCCAGCTGGACTGGGACTGAACGAGCATGTAATCAAACCGGATTCTCTGAATGTGGCTGACATGGGGGCCCAGTGAGAAGCCATTTACAATGGCATTGGGTCTTGTTTCGTCTGCATGTACTGGCTTTTTGTGATCCTAGTCTGTTTGGTAGCTCACTTTCCTAGACCTGGAGGGAGAGGGGAGGAACTTGAACTTCCCACAGGGCATGAAACCCTGACTGCTCTTAGGACTGGAGAGGGAGGAGGAGAGGGAGTAGGGGGGGGGAGGAGAGGGAGTGGGGGGAATGAGAGGGTATGGGGAGGAGAGGAGGATGTGGAAATTTTTTTTCAAAGTTTATTAAATTATAAAAGTTTCCATTTCTGCCCCTCCTCCCAACAACATCCCACTCCCCCAACTCCCCCTCCTCCTCCCTCTCCATCCCCAAGAGCAGTCAGGGTTTCCTGCCCTTTGGGAAGTCCAAGTTCCTCCCTGCTCCCTCCAGGTCCAGGAAGGTGAGCATC